AGCCTCAGTTTCAGGATCTGTCCTTCCAGTGAGCACTCAGGGTTGATTTCCTTTAGAATTGATAGGTTTGTTCTCCTTGCAGTCCAGGGGACTCTCAAGAGTCTCCTCCAACACCACAATTCAAAAGCATCAATTCTTCGGCGGTCAGCTTTCTTTATGGTCCAGCTCTCTTCCATACATCACTACAGAAAATACCATAGCTTTGACTATGCGGACTTTCGTTGGCAAGGTGATGTCTCTGCTTTTTAGGATATAATTCCTCTGTGTATTCTTGCCACCTCTTCTTGATGTCTTCTGCTTCTGTGAGGTCCCTTCCATTTTTGTTTTTTATCATGTCCATCTTTGCACAAAATTTTCCTCTAATATCTCCAATTTTCCTGAACAGATCTCTGGTTTTTCCTTTTCTGTTATTTTCCTCTATTTCTTTGCATTGTTCATTTAAAATGGCCCTCTTGTCTCTCCTTGCTATTCTTTGGGAGTCTGCATTCCATTTTCTGTAACTTTCCCTATCTCCCTTGCATTTTGTTTCCCTTCTCCTCTCTGCTATTTGTAAGGCCTGGTTGATCAGCCACTTTGATTTCTTGCATTTCCTTTTCTTTTGGATGATTTTTGTTGCTGCCTCCTGTACAGTGTTACGAGCCTCCACCCATAGTTTTTCAAACACTCTGTCCACTAAATCTAGTTCCTTAAATCTGTTCTTCACTTCCACTGTGTATTCATAAGGGATGTGGTTTAGATTATACCTGAGTAGCCCAGTGGTTTTTCCTACTTTCTTCAGTTTAAGCTTGAATTTGATGATCAGAGCCACAATCAGCTCCAGGTCTTGTTTTTGCTGACTGTATAGAGCTTCTCCATCCAATAGCGCTTACTCTCAACTAAATAAGCACATTGACAAATGTATGGCAGACATGTGGGAAATTCAAGTCAATGCCAAGAATCTGAAAAGTTGCCAAGAAAAACTATGATCAGAGGGAGAATTGGGGCAGGCATGCTATTACCCAGCTGGGGTGTCCAAATTAAGTATGTTTTTACAGCTGAAAGAGAAAAGGCTGAATAAGACAGAGGAGAGAAACAGTAAGCAAGGAAAGGGCTAAACACCCCAACCTGACCTACTATTTTCTCTTCAAATCGTGCACTCCTCTCTGCTGGTCTTCAACTGCTTAAAAACCCCAGGTGCTGCCAATTAGAGTTCCAGTTTAAGTCAGGGTCCCATGGATTAGTAATATGATAATATTGAGCATGTTAAAACACTCCATGTCATCGGACTACAGTTATGCTTCAATGCTATTGGTGAGAAAGACCCTGCGCCATATTTATTTCTGGCAGAAGGACTTCATTTAGTAATTATGAGAAGATCTGAACAGTTATATGATCTTCCAAAAGCTTTTTCTTCTGTATGCAGATTGGGGCTATATGTAGAAAATCCAGTCCTGCTCTACATATATGGGCAATCCAGTCCAGCCCTGCTTATTTGACAGTCCCATACTGCTTCTGATGCCTTCATCTGTTTGTGAAAGACAAACCAAATAAACATGGTGTACACATTCAAATTTTCATGCACACAGGCCTGTTTGGGTGAGGTCATCCCCAAAGAGATATTGAAGGTGGGTGCAATACACCAACTCCACACATGCCCAGACTGGGTCTTTTTAATACCACCCATACTCAGCCTTGGTGGAGGAGGCAAGACATGAGAGAAGGTGGACAGGTTTTCATGTGACTTTTTGATTGTCACCCTCTGACTTAACCATACCCATTTTGCATGTTCCTCAAGTGGCCTGTCAAGCAATAGGGAGTATTTAGGACAGAAGAAATTTACTTTTGTTTTGTTTTGTTTTTTGAGTTTTTCCTGCTCATACATGTAGCAGTTATATCAAAACATTCAATTGTGGGCTTTGTTTTGCTTTTTATTACCACTCACATCGCCAAAACCATCCAAGCAGCCACTCATATGAGCAATTTGTTGCATGGAACACCTTCTCTATGGTTTGGCTTCAAACATTTACTTGCTCCTGATTACCTGTGTGAAGTGATTTTATTCACAAGCTGCCCTTGATTTTTTTCCCCGTTCTCTCTTAGAAAGCGGAGAATTATTTTTTAAGTATACTACCTTGGGATCTACACACACAAGTTTTTGGGAGCCAGAGGCTAGACAAGGAAAATAAATATTTTCCTGCATATTATACTGTACTCAAATTCTAAATTCCAGAATTATTATTCAGCATGCTGCAGTCTCCTCTTGTACAGTTTTGTAACAAACGAAAAAGAGGCCCACAGGGAGAAGCAGGGGTTGATGACCTAGAAGGAACTGTTGCAGGCAGAAAAAGTGTGGCTGGTTTCCGTTTATTCAGCTTTCTAGCTGTCATCACCCACTCTAGTAGTCAACAACTAGAAACATTTGTTCCTGCTTCAAGTTGGTTCCTGAGCCCTCTCTCTGTGGGTGTATTTTCCAAAGGAACATGTGAGCCCCATTTATGAGTGTTGATGTGAAGAGCTGAAAGGGTTCCTCTCAACGGTAAAACAAGCTTTCGCTCTGGACAGAGAAATACTGTGCAATGGATTGATTTTAATATTCATGAGATTAATGCACCAGATCCAGTATGGTTTGTGCAATACAGGTGCATGACAAACAGAAAACAGTCTATGATTTGTTAGTGTGCTTACATGCCACACTTCCAAAGTCTATATACAGTATTTGTGTCTTGCATTGAAGCTACACTGTGTACAGTATTTGTGTGTTTTATGTACAGCATAAGATGGTAGCCCTACAGGTACGGTATGTTGTTGCCCCTTAGAAGCACAGCATGAGACAAACACCAGACTCTTGTGATATCTGCCGTTTCTTCTAAGGCAGCCTCTGTGGGCTGGGTTTTTTAAAGAGCTGCTGCGGTGTTGATCACAATACTTTTGGTCTTTCACCGAAGTACTGTAACCAAATTGGACTTGGGAGTTCTAGCTCTAGCCCATCCTGGTTTAATGATAACAAAAATTAGTACTAAGAATGGCACCTAAGCAGAGATTCTCATA